CACCCGAGTACAATCATCAACCAAGTCGTATGTCTCATACATACAAGACTTGCTCACGTTGTGCCGCACAGTGGATGAACAAATGACCGAGAGCGACAAGGTGGGCCACATACTCAAGGGCATTGTGGATGATGCTTTCAACTTGCTCGTCTACAACTACGTCACGACCGTCGATATTAAAATTAGGAATGCCGCCGCTTTGAAATGACCAAAAACCGCCGAGTTCGGCCTCAATTTTCACGGCTCCCTAACACGGCTGTCACGTCAACCTGTACTGATATCGGTGCCGCACCAGCCTTGCACGAGAATGTCACACGCATCGTTCGGCGCGAGCTTGAGGTGGCCCGTCCGGCGCCGTTTCATGCACTTCCACTCGACCAGGGCACCGTGCAAATACCTCCGACGGCGTCAGTTATTCAGGCAGTCGTGCGGCAAGAAATTGCTAACCTTGGTTTTCCTGTCACCTGCTCCGTCTCCCGACCGGACTACAGACCGATGCCAATAAATGCACCACGCCACGACCCATACTCTCTGCCCAGATCCCGCAGTCCGATGGAATGGAGAACAGCAGACGGCAAGCCAATCTGCTTCCGCTGTCGCCGAGTTGGCCATATCTCCCGCTACTGGACGCCCCCCCCCCCCCCCCTGTTGGAGCCAATTTTCCTCTCCTCAGTTATACGCGGACCCCCGTCGGTATTCGCGCAGCCGTGAGTATTCTGCTTTCGACGCACCTAACAGCCGCTCTACCGCTCGTTCACCGTCGCCGCAACGCCACCGTTCTCCGTCGCTCCAACCCTGCCGCTATCCATCGCCTACTAACTATGGATCTTCGCGGAAGGAAAACTAGATTATGCAGCTCCTAAAGGTAGTGCTGCATCAAGTGCGACTGACCTAAGTCCTCCGTTGGCGCTACCTACTAATAAGAACTTGCTGGAAGTGCACGTGGACGGTCTTTCCTTGACGGCTTTAGTTGACACTGGAGCTCAGGTGTCTATAATGAGTGCTCGTCCCTGTCGCCACATCAAAAAAGTACTCACGCCTGCCACAACACAAGCTGTCCATGTTGCCGATGGTGAAACTGTGGCCGTCATTGGAATATGTGTACCGCTCGCATTAGCCTTGCCGGCCGCCATGTTCCTGTTTTATTTACCGTGCTCGACAATTGCCCTCATGACCTCATCTTCGGAATAGACTTCTTATCGTCGCATTCTGCCCTGATTAACTGTTTCGCCGGCACTCTCTGTTTAAAACTTCCTCTTCTTCTAGATTCTCGCCCCGAGCTGCCGAAAAGCCTCTGTACCACAGACTCCAGTTGGATACCGCCAAAAGCCCTAAAATTCATTGAATTGGTAACAAATTCACCCGTTGTTGACGATGATTATGCTGTCACACCTAGTCCAGATGTTCTCCTGGTGCGCGACATCACTGTGCCACACTCCGTCGTAACCATGGCCTCTAACCGAACATGTGTGCCCATTATCAATCTCAGTTTCACACAGCAATTACTACCGCACGGAATTTCAGTCGCCACGCTTCGACTCTTAATAGACGGCCATGTCACCGCTTTTGCGGCAGATGCATGCTCCGATCTTCCATGTCGCCCGCAGGATGCCACATCCCTCGATGTGGCCTTGCGCCCTATGATTGACCCGAAACTCAAACCTGAGCGATCTGACGCCCTATTCCGCCTTCTGGCTTCCTACCACGACATATTTGACATCGACAGCAGTCAACTTGATAAGACTTCCCTCGTGAAGCACCGCAATAATACAGGTGATTTTCCTCCCATTCACCGCCAACCATACCGGGTGTTTGCCACAGAGCGTAAGATAATTCAAAAAGAAGTCAGCAAGATGCTAGCCAAAGGAATTATTGAACCCTCCTCGAGCCCTTGGGCATCTTCTGTTGTGCTCTTTAGAAAGAAAGATGACACGTGGCGCTTCTGCGTGGATAACTGCCATCTTAGTCAAATCACAAAAAGGACGTTTATTCTTTGCCCCGAATCGATGACGTCCCGATTGTCTTCATAGCGCGCGACACTTTTCTTCAATAGACCTACCTTCTGGCTAATAGTAGATTGCGGTGGACGAGAAACACCAAGAAAAGACTTCATTTGTAACTCCCAATGACCTATACCAATTCAAGGTGATGCTGTTTGTGCTATGCAACGTCTCAGCCACGTTTGAGCGTGTGATGGACTCCCTATTACAAGGGTTCAAGTGGTCAACATGCCTGTGCTACCTGGATGATGTCCTTGTATATTCGCCTACATTTGAGACACACCTCCAGCGTTTGTCAGCGGTTCTCGGCATCTTCCGCAATGCTGGTCTTCAACTCAACTCATCGAAATGTCACTTTGGCCACCAGCAAATTATGGTGTTGGGCCACCTTGCCGACTCATCAGGTGTGCAGCCTGACCCAGACAAAATTCGTGCAATCACGAGCTTTCCTGTACGCCAGTCTGTCAAGGACGTCTGGAGATTTGTGGGACTTTGTTCCTATTTTAGAAGGTTTGTGTAAGATTTTGCAACGATCACTCGACCACTCACCGACCTTTTGAAGAAAGACGTGACTTTCACATGGGGTTCCACCCAAGCTGCCGCTTTTTCTCACCTCATCACCCTTCTCACGACTCCACTTATATTGGCCCACTTTGACCCGTCCGCTCCGACAGAAGTCCGAACCAATGCGAGTGGTCACGGGATTGGAGCCGTCCTAGCCCAACGCCAGCTGGGACACGACCGAGTTACTGCCTACGCTAGCCGCCTACTCACAGCTGCCGAGCGCAACTGTTCAATAACAGAAAGTGACTGTCTAGCTCTTGTTTGGGCAGTCATGAAGTTCGGCCCATATTTTATGGCACGAATTTCTATGTAATAACGGACCACCATGCGCTATGTTGGCTTCTGTCACTGAAGGATCCTACTGGCTGGCTCGGGGGCTGGGCTCTGCGACTGCAAGAGTATACCTACACGGTGACGTACAAGTCCGGACGCCTACATCAGGACGCAGACTGCCTGTCCCGCTACCACATTGCTGTGTCGAGCGCTATGCCTCACACCGACACCGAGCCTTGCGTCTTTTCCCTTTCGCAAACGACATGCATTGGTGACCAGCAGCGCCATGATGTGTCCTTGCGTGCTGTCATTGAGCGCCTCGAATCACCATCTTCCAATCAGTTCCATCGCTCATTCGTGCTCCACGATGGTGTACTATACCGCCAAAGTTATGAGCCGGATGAACCAGCCCCCCTGCTTGTCATTACGAAACACCTTCGCTCGGAAGTTCTACGAGACCTTCATGACATTCCGACTGCTGGTCACCTTGGTGTGTCAGGCACTTACGACCGAATACGCCGACGCTTCTTTTGGCCAGGGCTTGCCCGCTCAGTCAGAAGATACGTTGCAGCTTGTGAGAAATGCCAGCACCACAAAGCATCATCGACACTTCCCACTGGATGCCTTCAACCAATTGACATTCCGTCAGAACCATTCTTTCGCGGTGGCTTGAACCTACTTGGCCCTTTCCCTTGTCTTCTTCGGGTAACAAGTAAATAACCGTGGCCACAGACTACGCCACGCGCTATGCCATCACATGAGCTCTTCCAACAAGCTGCGCCACAGATGTCGCCGACTTCCTCCTCAAGGACGTGATTTTGCAACACGGAGCCCCACGGCAGCTGCTTATAGACCGTGGCCGCACCTTTTTGTCGAAGGTCATAGCCGACATCTTGCAGTCCTGTCAAACGAGACACAAGCTGACTACGTCATACCACCCGCAAACCAATGGACTCACGGAGCGTCTAAGTATGTTTCTACCAACCACACCAACTGGGATTTCACGTTGCCGTACGTCACATTTGTCTACAACTCTTCTCGTCATGACACTGCCGCTTACTCTCCATTTTTTCTGTTGTTCGGCCGAAAACCTACATTACCCCTAGATACATTCTTTCGGTCTACCGTGACACCGACCAGCGAATATGCCCTTGACGCTATCACTCGGGCTGCTCACGCACGCGAAATCACCCGCACTCGTTTTCTGGCCTCTCAAGAGAACCAGCGGCGTTTGTACGATCAACGGCACCATGACGTGCACTTCTTACCCGGGTCATTGGTGCTGCTGTGGTCTCCGACCCGTCAAGTCGACTTGTCGGAAAAAATTCTTTCCCGCTACACATGTCCATATCGAGTTCTTCGTGAGGTTACTCCTGTGACATACGAAATTGCCCCTACTGCCTCATCGCCTTCAACTTCCCCACAGACCACCGATATTGTACATGTGGCACGCTTGAAGCCTTACCACTCTCCCGCTGACATTGATATCTAGATGTGCCGAGACGGCGCTTCTGCCGCCAGGGATTTTGCTACATGCATGTGACAATTTGTGGGACGATGCGCGTGAGTGCCTGATGAGTAGGACGAAGAGTGGTCTCCGCTCGGCTTCTGGTCTACCGGTCATGCCACTGCTGCTGCTGGTTTGAAATATATTTCATCCACAGCCTCGTTGATACGGTGTCTCTCTTCCGTAACAATATTATTATTGATAGCACCCTGAAATAAATTCTTTCGTTTCACCCGCTAGGGTCCCCAACAGCCAAATTATACGCATGGTACGTTGCAATCACTGTAAACAAATACGCTGCAGTTTGTTAGAGGGCATACTTACTAGAAGCATAAAAAATAATAATATATGTGAAAGATTCTTTAAATCCACCCATGAGTGCATGATGATGCTATACTCAGATTCAGGTACAAAAAGCGTAAAAGGGTTGGGGTTATTCTTAAATACTTCATCCTTTTTTGCCACTGCAGCCTGACTGCCGCTCTTTCCGCAACATGAAATTCAAATTCATGGAGTACCCTTCCATGCCCATACGATTGTAAAAAAAACTTTCCTGTGTACTCCTAAACAAAGTACGCGTGTTCCGTCTAGTAAACATATAGTCCGTGCAAAAATGATGCTTATTGAAGCGAAAGAAATGGGGAAATGGTACTTACAATTCGTCTGTACAGCCTTCGGGTTGATGCATTCTGTACCCGGTCTTGAGAAGACGGAACAAATGCTCAGGACCAACGCCAGGGTATGGTGAAGCACCTGTTGTGAGATCACATATGCTCTAAATATGTAACGTTCATTAAAATATATTTGTTATACTTTGTGTCCCAAAACTACGATATGGTTATAAAAAATGCCGTAGTAGAGGGCTCCGAAAATTCCAACCGTCTAGGGTGTTTTAGCCCTGCTCTATATATAAGTAAATGGGTCTCTAGAATTTCGATGCTTGTCAAACAGGGAACAGTTTGCAGTCATGCGTACACTTACTGAGTTTATTCAGACAGAAATATTTAGGTTTTCAGCAACAGTGCAGAGCGTATGACTATAAGAATTACTGATGGTCCTAATTGTCCAGTGCACCTCATTTTTTTATTTTATGCAAAAATGGTAATTTAAAGTTCTAACAAAGCCTAAAAATGGATTTTTACGTCACATCACTGCACTGAAAGCACACACGTAGGAGACATTTTTTCTTTTTATTTTCATTCTCCGCACCTTATGGTGAAATCACATGACAGCCGCGAAATTCAGTATAAATAATAAGATTTATGATTGATATGTACAGTTTAACGTTCCGAAACCACCATATGTATATCAGAGATACTTTAGTGGAGGGCCCCAGAAATCACGACCACCTGGTGTTCATTAACGTGTACCCGAATTTGAGCCCACGTGCCTACAGCATTTGCGTCTCAATCGAAAATGCAGCCGCTACGACCGGGATTCCATCCCGCGACCTGCGGGTTAGCAGCCGTGTACCTTAGCCAGTCGACTACCGCGGTGTTGCAAGAGTATAAATAATAAACATTTTGCACATACTTTATTAGGATAATATGCTAGAAAGTTCAAAGGTCTAAAACAGTGATTTTCAATGATCAATGACTTTGAAAACTTTTAACTTTGAAAAGTTAGGCTAGCTGGGAATATTCTTATGCATAGCATCAACTGCACACCTACTCGTGATTTCAATGCTAAGCTTGAAGCTTTGCTGATTGTTTTTTTTTCGTGATAATGCGCCAAATTCAGTGACACAAAAATTCACCGTGCAAGTGTGCGAAAGTGATCAGAAAAGTGCTTGTGATTAGCCAAACATTTCTGCAGCATTCAAGGACGCACGTTCGACATGAATAGGTAGCAAGATTAAAGAAAACTGCACATCAAGTTGTACACTACTCTATATGAAACTTTACATCAGATGCCTTTTGGGTTGGAGCTCCGTGAAGTCGCAGAAGCCTGCTTTCAAATTATTGTTTGAGGCCTGGTAGTTTATTGTGTTGTGAATGAAGAAACGTGGAAGGTTGCTCATTACATTTCATGGTGGTTTCCATAATTCAGGTAATAGAGCTATACTGTGAACACTACATGCCCATGTATAGTTAGCAGGAACCCATGAGCAAGTAGGACACGCTCAGTAGAGCACAAGCGAAGCCACCGCGGCTGCACATCAAAGCAAGCCCACACAGCTGCAGTGAGATGCGGAAACATGGCTTTATGTAGTGTTCTACATTTTCTTGAATATGCCAAGCCTATATTTTATCAATTAAATATTCACTTTTATTATAAAGCACCATAATGCTAATCTCACTTAGGGTTTAAAAAAAGCCACGTGGTTTTATTATTTAACGAAAATATACCATGGACGTTGCTAAGAATTCATGTCGCTTGAAATATGCTCTCACCAAAATTTTTTCATTTGGACTCACTCGAACTCAAGCTAAAAAAATTATTATTCCTCTGGACTCACTCAGACACAGTCTCACAGCCCAATCTTAACCTGAGTGAGTCCATGTGAGTCGACTTATGATAAGCTTGCCTATTTATGTTCCTGAAAAGTTTTGGTTTGGAACAGTCAAAGATAAATAAGTTCAATCGTATTCAACCTCTTTACATGTGGCGGCAGTTCTCAGTTGTCACCAGATAGCAACAGAAGCAAAACTCACTTCAGAAATTGCATAGCACTGTTTTTACGGTGCTTAGTTTGGTTTTTTATCATTTGGGATTAATTTAGTAGAGAGCATAGGACGGCAAAACTTGTGAAGCTCACTCACACTAACTCATGAATTATATTTCGAGCTTTTGGACTGACTCTGCTGACACTCACAAAAATTTTTCTCTACCCAACTAACTCAAGCTCGAACTCACCAAATCACTTTTCGCCCAGACCCACTCAGATTTAGACTCATGGCTTGATTAAAGTTTGAATGAGTCCTAGTCATTCATCTCATGAGGCTGTTAGCCTGGATTTAACTTGTTACAATATAGGTCGACAAAACTAGTGGAGCTCACTCACACTTACTCATGAACTATATTTCGAGCTTTGGCCTCGCTTGGGCTTAGACTCACAAAAATTTTCCTCTACCACACCAACTCACACTCAAACTCAGAGCTTCTTGCGATAAGTGCAACAGCAATAAAATGATAGAACACGTTCTCTGTCACTGTCCTCGCTACAGCGTGCACAGACAGTCGCTATCTGCTGTGTTAGCTCGCTCGACAGCCGACATGATCTGTCTTCGCACACAAGATTAGCCAAGGCCTTATTGAACTTTTTGTGTGGTAGTGGCCTATTGAAGAGGCTATGGCATCCCGCTCTTTTTCTACTTTGCTCTTCATTTGTTCCTCTTCCCCATTCTCCCTCCACTCTGTGCTGGGTAGCAAACCGGATTCTTCAATTTTTTGCTGAACTCCCTGCCTTTCCATCATTTTATTCTCTCACTCTCTCTTCGACCATGGTGTCAATGCTCGTTAACACAAACATCTCACATAATTGTCGCTCTTTTTTTTTTTAAGCGAATTTTCTTGAAAAACGAGGTCCCAGTACCTACAAACCAGTGAGGTTGTTTTTCGTGGAATATATGACTGCATAAATATGGTTTTTACTGATAACTTCTCTGGAAGAGTATGATGGGGTGATTTGAAGTTACCCCCTACGTAATTCACGACACTTCTTCTAAATACCTGTGAGTAGACGTGACCACAAATGTGAATGCACGTAAGGCTGAGAGTAATTCTGAGATGACGAGATAGGACTAGAAGGTAACCCAGCTCTTCAAGTTCACACGAAGTATTTTTCTTTAAGATGGCATACAGTTATCCTTATATCTTACCATGCAACAAGACCATTTATAAACATGTCAATTTTTTTACAAATATGCGACTTTTACGTGCGAAAAATGTAGTATGATAATGGCGCACACCATAGTGGTCTACTGAGGTCTAGTTTTGAGACATGGTGTTCTTTTGCGTGCACCTAAATCTTAATACATGGTGTTCTCGCATTTCGATTCAGTCTAAACGCTGGCGAGGTGGCCGAGAATAAAAACAATGTCCTCGAAGTTAGCAGCGCGATATTAGGCTGCTGTATTATCGGTTAGACAAAGTATGACGTGCATAAACAATTTATTCTGACGAGATATACTCCTACAGTGTGATGCTTGAAGAAAAGGTTACCTTACCTAGCGTGACGATTTCCCAAAGCACGACACCAAAGGACCACCTGGAACCGGAAAAATATAGAAGACATGTTTTTTTTAAACTATTATTTAATACAATATCATTTTAGCTTAACAGCTAAAACAATAAGACACAGAGCAATGGTTTAACAGTGCAGCCACATCTTCCTGCCCGAATATTTATACATTAAGACAATACTCAGTTCATGTGACATGCACTGCTTCAGGGATCTTCACCAACCAGAACAGCTGAGTCAACTGGTCGTAGTTTCTTAGTGATTCAAAATCTTCTATTGCATGAACAACTTTGGATCAGCAAATGGCCTGAAAAACGATTAGTTACCAAATTCATCATGAATACCTTAGTCAGCCCGTTTGTTACAATTGTTTTAAAATATTGTGACAGCAGTTGTTGCCATTCTGCATAGGAATAGTAATATCTAGATTGACACTAAATGGCTGCTGTCCCAAGTACAAAAGATGCATGTGGTTAACACGAGGACAGTTCTAAATTCTTTTAACACAATTCTTCTGTGCTTTCATGTTCTTATTAACACTCTATCAACCCTGTAAATACAAGATGGTATTAGTAAGACGTGTAGACTGACAGCCCAGGTAGTTAAACAAAGGGAGCAGTTTGTTGAACATTGTGTGGTGCCTAGCGAAACTAGATAAATAGGTGATGCTTATTATATCATAACACCTATGCAAACAAATTCGCTGTTTTTAAGTATTAGTACATGAACAGCGTATTTCAAGAAACCTTGAATCAATTCATGCTATATTTTAGCATATCCAAAGCAAATTAACATTGGATCTCAATGAACACAGGATGATTCCTACTTTTTCTTTTTCCGCCCTCATAGAGGAAAAGACAGAAGTTAGGGTGCAAGTTATTATGTCTAGTATCTGGAGCGTGCAACAACTAGCATAATTTTGAAGTATAACAAAAGGCATCATACAGTGAACATTTCAATCAGTCCCCCCTCCTGCATGCACACACACACACACACACACACACAAACACGCGCGCGCGCGCACGCATGCACTCACGCACTAGTCCACACAATTAAGTTAGGCTACTTACACATCACTCTTGCTTGTGTATATTTGATCTTCCAGCGACTCTAAGGCCATCCATTTCACGGGCACTCTTCCCTGCAAGTCGGGACAATGGCGTTCATTATTATGACGTTCAGTGCACATGAAAACTACAAAATGAAGAGCAATAATGTACAAATAGTGTTCTGTGCAGGGAACAGCAAATTCAAGGATAAGTGCACCAAGTTTAAAGCACTTTGCGTTTATCATATAGCCTTAATGTCTGTAGGCAACAACCACAAGAATAGCATCAACATTGTGACAAGGTCAACTAATTGTATCAAACAATAATTTTATTTTGTTTCTATCTGAAATTCTATCTTATCTCAATGTTCAAAGTGACACCAACGAGAAAAGAGCTTCTTCTTCTATTGGTACATTGCAATTATACAATACCGAAAGCACATTATTATTGTGAGAACACGCTCGGTATAAGCGAGGAAACGCGCAAAAAATAAAAACAAGTGTATATCACCTTAATGTTCTCGCGCTAGTTCATCATGACGTGATAAATTTTGACGGCATCTGCTAGGACCTAAGCTACTGCTTATCAATGAAAGTTATTTAGATTTCCTTCTAAGGTACTCATTGTCATGAGAGAGCAAGTTTCAGAACATCCCATTGAACCGACGTGGCCAGCATACACAAAGAGACGTTGAAGGTCGTGACGCCACACTGACTTTCGGGTGTTAGCAATTTGGCACAAAAATTGAAACATAAAAATTCAACTTTAATTTCTATTTGTAATTGACCTTTTGTGGAGAAATTGAGGGTAGTTTTGAGAGATTAATTTATCCATGTGAACTGATTTAGTGTTGCACCTGCATGTTATTTATGTGTGCCAGTAGACTCAAAACGTATCTAGAATACATGGCCCTTATATCTTCAATTTTAACTGTCTGTTTCACGTGATCTGTCTGATAAAAAATGAATTAGAACAATGCTGTGATGTATTGGTGTTTCTACAGGTTAGCGATTGTAACCTAAATCAGTGGTCGTAGTAACAACTTAAAAAAATTCGTCAAAGTCGTGGCCTGGGCCTTGGCCACCCCCGAGGAGGACCGGAGACCCTGTCTCCTTGCTGCCTCACGGGCTTGAAGGATGGCCGGGCCACAATTGTTCTTAGAGGGTGGAGCTATGCAGTGTGGCCATCCAGTGCGCCACAGCTTCGTATGGGGAGACTGTTTTTTTTTTTCAGATAAAACTCCACGTTCCCAGAAATTGTGGCTGAGTGATGCGTGAGACCAGCCGCATAGTTTGCAGATGTCATCTGGATAGACGTCTGGGTATATCCTCCTAAAATGAACAGGAATGGTGAAGGTCTGGGTTTTCAATTGTCTCAGATCTGCTTCTCCGAATCTGTTGAGTTTGGAACTTGGCGGGGGATGAATACACTTACATTGTTTATAGAAGCTCGTGCTGTCACAGTATCGCGCAATTTTATCCCTCTTTGTATAGCCCTCTGTTGGATGTTCATTTCTTGAAGAGGGCGTTTCTATGCCAACGCAGAACGTCAGACGTCGGGTTCAGCGATGAACCTGCCCATTGGGCTTGGATACTTGGGTGTGTGGGGATCTGTGAGCCAGTAACCATACGTTATTTTTGCGTCTTTTCGGAGGTGATATAGTTTACATTGGCACGGAAAATAGCCATGCCTTCGGGCGAAATTCTGCCTTATGCATTATTTCTCACCACCGTCTCCGAATCACTTAATATGTATCAGCTACTCAGGCAAACGATGGCTAGGGCTATCGCCACTTCTTCCGCTAACTGAAGGTTTCTGCCGAATACACTGTATGAACTGAACAATTTTTGGTTGTCAGTATTAAGGGCTGTCTCTGCAAAGGCACGTCGATGTGCATATTGTGCCACGTCTATGAACAGCGCTTCCTTGTGTCTACCATAAGCTTGTAGTAAAGAGCCGGCTCTACTCTCTCTTCGTGCCTGACTCGAATCAGGGTGCATGCTCTTGGGTATGTTATCCACACGGCGCTTTTCTCTGATCGAACTTTGGAAAGATTTCTCGTCGCTCTGCTGCTTGTAACATGAAATGCCAAGTTTGTCCAAGATGCTCCTGTCCGTTCGTCAACTGGTTAGCCTCTCTAGTTGCGAGAATTTTTGAGCTTCTATTAGCTCTTCAAGCGTATTGTCCATGATTAACTGTAGTAGAAGTTCCGTGCTTGCACTGTCTGGAAGGCCCAGCGCCATCTTGAGTGTTCTCCTCATTAGGATTTTCAGCTTATTCTTTTCAGCAGTGTACCAAATGTAGTAGGCGGCCACGTACATATTGTCACTAATCACGAAGGAATGAATGAGTTGGACGAAACTCATCTTCTTTATGCCCCAATGTGAATTGCTTGTTCTTCTGATGAGCCTCGTCCTATTAATGAGCCTAAAACTCGAGATTCCTGATCGTTGCTTCGTTGGCACTAATTGATTCTAATATAAGACCGTGCACCCTAATCTGAGTGACCCTAGCTATTTCTTGCTATTCTTTGGTGCATACCTAGTGCTGCTTGAGATCAAAGCGGCAACGATGAAACGATAGAGCACATTCTCGGTCACTGCCCTTCCTACAGCATGCAAACACAGCCACTAGCTGCTGCGTTAGCCCGCATTGACGACAGGTCCTTGTCATAACAGTCAGCGCTCGAAAGCTGGCATGCCCCGCTGCCGTGGTCTACTGGGTAACGTACCCTGCTGTTGACCTGCAGTCTATGGGATCGAATCATGGCTGTAGCGGCTCCATTTTCGATGGAGGCTGAAATGCTGTAAGCCCGCGTGCTCAGATTTCGGTGCACGTTAAAAATCCCAGGTGGACGAAATTTCCTGAGCTCTCTCCTACGGCGTCTCTCATAATCATATGATGGTTTTGGGACGTTAAACAACACAAATCAATCATCAATCAATTGAAAGCTGACACAATCTTTCGTCGAACAAAAACTTCGTGAAGGCCTTATTGAACTTTTTGCGTGGTAGTGACCTATTAAATAGGCTCCCCACTCTTCTTTGTCTTTTTCACGCGTCTGTATCGCTCTTCGTTTTCTTTGTCATCTTTTTTCCCAATTTTCCTAATGCAGGGTAGCAAACTGAATGCCCGAATATCTGGTTAACCTTCCTGCCTTTCTCTCATTTTATTATCTCTCTCTCTTGGTGCGTAGGCAAATTTCATTGTACTCCGCATGTCAGATGAAACACTTGGGGGCCTTTTCTTAAGCGTCGGGTGGTATAAATAAAGTTCAGATTTTTTAAGGAACAGACAAGCGTGGTTCCTAAAAGGTACTGTTCCACCATTTCAACCACTGTCTGTAGCCGCTGCTCAATTTTTCAGCCACTTCCTCTGCATACCCAAATGATAATGTCATTTGTGTACGTATGGTGTGATTTACTACCTCTATGGCGTTTAGGCGTTCGCGGAGGCCGATCATAACCAAATTGAAGAGCATTGACGAGATGACTCAGCCTTCTGGGGTGCCGACGCTGACAATGCTCCTGTCTTCAGATGTAAATTTGCCCAGTGCTAAGGAGACACTTCTGCTTGTGAAAAAAACCATCACGTAGTCGTATGCTCTATTTACTAGACTTAGTCTGGCGACATGGCGTAGTATGGCTGCGTGAGCGGAGGTGTCGAAGGTTTTCTAGAGGTTTGGTTCTAGAATGACCCTGGTGTATCTCTCGTCTTGTTGTCAAGTATCTAGTGTTTTTTTTGGGGGGGGGGGGGGGACATTGCATTCCGCGTGGATGGAGGAGCTTTTTACCCGAGCATTGTGTCCAGGTATGCTTTAATGTCATCCAAATGTGCTTTGATTTCGACTGAAAAAAGGCGTTTTCTATCAACTTTCCAGCAGGTGACGTAAAATATTCGAGGAAAAGGTCGGCAAGGTTTGTCGGTTTTCTGGGCTCTAAAACGAGCTCCTATTCTGCATTTATTTCAATAATCAAACATGAGCCTTCGGGTCTAAATTGCTCCACCGCGGTGGTCTAGTGGCTAAGGTACTCGGCTGCAGACCTGTAGGTCGTGGGATCGAATCCCGGCTGCGGCGGCTGCATTTCCGAAGGAGTCGGGAATGTTCTATGCCTGTGTGCTCAGATTTGGGTGCACATAGAGAACCCAGGTGGCCGGAATTTCCGGAACCGTCCACTACGGCGTCTCTCATAATCATATGGTGATTTTGGGACGTTAAACACCACATATCAATCAGTTATCATCGGGTCCGAAATTCGTTTATGTACTTGGTCAGTTCAGAGATGGTCTCATCCAAGTTACAAAGGGCTTTATTCGTTATGCTGTCCAGTCCCACGGCCGATTTGCTGTGGACCTTTTGCAGAGTGGCCTAGGTTTGCGCCTCGTCAAAGTACCTGTCCAAAGAGAAGTTAGATTTGCTGTGTGTTCCACGCGTAGAATAGGCGGGTTCTGAGAAGCGTATGTGTCACAGAGCTCCGAAAGGATTTTTTCCTCGTCCTTGGTGGGTGTGTGTATTATCCTGCGCATGGTTTCCCTTTGATTTGCCTTCTTCCTGATCTGGTCTAGCAGGTGTCGGAAGATGTACCACATGTCACCGGTGCCAAGTTGTTCGTTCATTGTGTGGCAGGTCTCTTCCCATTGCTTTTTATCAAGAGTTCTACAATGTTCTTCCATCTGTTTGTTCAGTAATGCAATGTGTTTGCTCAACTGCTTATGGTGTCGTTGCTTCTACCACCTGGCTTGTAACGATCGATTAGCCTCCCACATGTGCACCAGGTGGATGTCTATCTTATTGACGAGAAGTTCTGGTGTCACTGTCTTCATAACATCTTTGACGTCAGCCATAATCTTTTATACCCACTGTTCCTTGTGTGTGGTCAGCTCGTGAGTCATTGCGGTTCCACTCTGACGAATTTTATCCCAGTCTGACCATTTGAACTTTTTAGTGGTATCGATTTCTGAAGTATTCGATAATGTAGTTTTGAGAAATATGTGGTCTCTACCAACGTCTTAAAACGTGCTTTTCTAGTTGGATACTTTCGAGTGGCTCACTAACATTAGGTCAGATGTGGTGTCTTTTGGATGGTAAGGAATGAGAGTCAGGCCTGTTTCCTTCATTTCTGCCATAGAGCCTTACCTTTGGCTTCCATGTAGGCATGACCTCGTGCTCCGTGTGGCGCGTTAAAGTCACCCCCGATTAGCAGAGAGTGCAAACCCAAAAGTAAGCGGCCCTTCTAAAGAGGGTAAGTACGCTTTGTCGTATGTACCCATGGTTGCTGATGGATTAAGCGTTAACATGCTGGATTGCTTTTTTCTCTGGAGTATGACTTTATGAATACACGCTACCCTAATGTCATGACGAATGACCACTAAACCTTTCCTGACTAATGTAGCTACAGCGCTGTCCTTTCCGGAGGACGAACCAATGAATGGATAAGCGACAAGTTTGGCTAACTTGTGTGTTCCTTGTACCATTACGTCTGGTTTCGATTTGTTTTATTGTATTGTTGAAAGGGAAGATTTTTTGTGGCGTAACCCTTACAATTTTATTGCCAAATCGTCAACTCGCCATTTCTGCCTATTTTGATTTGATGGTGGGGTGGAGGACTGCAGAGAGGTGAACTGAATGACCCACGATACTGCCGCGGCACATGTAGCGGCGTTTCGAAATTTATTAGCTGCGACCCTGGTTGTGGGGGCTCCTGTGGAAGTAACTTGCTGTAGTGTGACTACCCTGAGACACAACAACGTTACTACGTTGTTTTAGAATTCTTCAAGTCTCGACATTACGATCTAGATCACTAACCTTAGATTATAATGACTTCTGCTTGGTACGCTTTGCATATAAGTTCTGCCCTATGTCTCCGTAATTTCTTCCCTAGGTCGGTAAGTTGCGATCCGGTTTGGCTGATAACTGCCAGATCCGAAGTCTTAGGTGGCGAAAGACTGTCGTCTTCTTCCATGCGAAATCAGGGTGCCTAATCTGAATATTTCAAAAGCAAAACTCACTTTTCACATTCACGTGATGTGATGGCTACGAGTGCAGTGGTTGGTACTCATAAAGCAAATACACAACAAAATTGGGAGAGGAACTACAGTCATCGTAGCACAACTGTTGAGCCACCACAGGCACAATTCGAAGCTTCTTGATATGGTTCCTACTGGCGGTGACTTGATTTTTCGACCACTAAGGAAACCCATATTCTGATTATTATGAGAACTCGACTAAATGCTGCAAACTATACCAATGTGCTTTTCATACCTTTATTATCAGCCATATTTACATTGTTATGCATTAAAAATGGGTCTATTGATGCATTATCTTTCAATGGTTAAAAATATTGTAACACAAGAATGATACCCGATTTTATAACTGCATGGTGATAGCAAATGCAAGAGGCAGTGTGTTGTCACTTACCCTACTTTTCTTGAGATATGTGTCGCCCTCATACACGTCCCGACTTAAGCCAAAGTCGGAGATCTTGATAACGTTCCCTTCTGCCAAAAGGATATTTCGTGCCGCCAAGTCTCTGTGCACCAGCTACGAGAGAGGAAAATAGTACATGTAAAATGTTCGCTGATTGCTGAAGGTAGCAGTATTACTAATATAAGTATCGTTTATTAAAGGATTTAGTTAAAGGAGTGAGATAGTTCTATCATAATAACTGAAATCGAGCCTAATAATCCTGAAATTCATTGTACAAGAGTTCAACTTGTTAGATTTACACACACACAATATATATATATATATATATATATATATATATATATACATGCTCATTTAATAAATCCTTGACAGGGAAGTTCATACCTAATGCCTTCTAGAAGTATACGAGAGTGTTTTAGTAGGACACCGTGTCTTCGATTCGGAGCCTATATATTGGTAGAAAATTAATAGTTGATCTAATTTTTTCCTCGTAGATACCAAATTATCGAAAATTTGATGTTTATTTTGCATTACAACTTCACCAATGCACTCTTATTTATTTTATTTCCGATAAATGTGTGTTACATTGTTGCTGATAATCATGTTTCTGTATACTTTCTTTTTTTCACTTGCTCTTTGCTTATCTTGCTGATAAGGCTGCAGAGCAGAGCTGCACTGCTGTAAACTTAAAGTGTACTTTCGAGGGGCAGGAGTTAGACAAGCTGCTGACCTTTTCTCATATGGTGAAAAATACAGGACCTATTAATATATTTATTGTCAATTCCACTGATACTTAGATGAAGTTGTATCTGAAGACGAAAGGATGCAAACACACTAAATAGAATATAATTGTCCAGAAGGTTTGAACTCAGAAACATGCTCACAGAAGCACACATATTTCAATACAAAAACAACTACGTTTGTCCTTTGCACAACTATAAAAGGTTGTTTTAATACACGCAAGCATACTTCACAAGGATACTGACATTGGTTCATACAGTTGATGAATCTCAATTTTGAAAATGCACTTTGAAAGTTGAAAAATGGTCTTTTAAAATTGAAGTTTATCAAATAAATCCGAATTACAAAACATATACTGGCGAGGGTTATAATCAAGCTTTTTTTTAGGAATCCGAAAACAAGAAGTCCTACTTATTAGTCAGCTATTTTTTACGTAAACGTTTACGTGCTCGGCGGCGCCATCTGGAAAAAAAAAGATAGTATTGAACATTCGCCGTCACGGCTGCAAGTGGCCAACAATACTAGTGTTTGCATGCAGATCAATACCCCGTAATGTGGACGAGGGGATGACCACAACCGTAGCTCAATTGGTATGAGCATCGGGCACGTAATCTGAAGATTGGAGGTTCGGTACTTGTTAGTGCCACGTTGCCTTTTCGTTCACTTTACTTTCTTCCCTACCGTGTCACAATGACAAGAGTACTCTTAAAACGGGAGCTGTGACGCCCCTAACATTTTGGCGTCATTATTTGGATACATAAATGAATCTATATATATATATATATATATATATATATATATATATATATATATATATATATATATAAATAAGCAAAAGAAGGTGTATACCTAAGGGCTCGTTTTTTTTCCGTGTTTTACCACAATAGTAATGAGATCTAAAAGACAGTAATGCCAAGGAATGTACAGGGGAAGTTGTTAGAACCAATAGAATGTAAATAAGAAGAAAGAAGAAAGAAAAGTGGATGAAAAAATAACCCGCCGTGAGCAGAAATCGAACCTGCGACCTTCGAATAACGCGTTCAATTCAAACGCGTTATTCCCTATCACGACGAGTCACCGTCCCTATCACGACGAGCCACCGTCTATGCCATCGCCGTGATGCCTAGCTCTATCTCCTCAAAGGTCGCTGTCTCCATGACGTCGTTCCCCGCCCCCCATGCGGCCAAGTTCGGCAGCTCACGAGCGGGAAAACTAGTTCGGATTCCCCGAGGCAAGGAGTGCGACGCCATCACATTGTGAAAGCCCTCAGAGCAGCCAACTAATGTTATTGACGTGCTTGTGGACGGTGTTCATGTCTCTGCTCTTATTGACACTGGAGCTGCCGCATCAGCTATGGACGAAAACCTTTGCCACTTACTTCGAAAAGTGGCCCCGCTGCGGTAGTCTAGTGGCTAAGGTACTCGGTTGCTGACTAGCAGGTCACAGGATGGAATCCCGGCTGCAGCGGCTACGTTTCCGATGAAGGCGGAAATGCTGTAGGCCCGTGTGCTTATAGATTTGGGTGCACGTTAAACAACCCCAGCTGGTTAACATTTTCGGAGGCCACCCCTACGGCGTCTCTTATAATCATATCGTGGTTTAAGGACGATACACCTCACATATAAATCAATCATGACTTTGAAAAGTGACGACGCCAATTTCTGGGTTGTCCCTTCGTACCGCTAGTTCGCATCGTATTCATCCTAAAGGAGGGGACACAGCTCGCGTTGTCGTTCAGGACGTTCTGTATGTCGCCCGTTGATCATCATTCCTGCATGCTCTGATGACGTCATCCTGGGATAGGATTTTTCTCCCGCCACGATGCCGTCATTCATTGTGCCACCACCGAAAGGAACTCTCACCCTTTTCGCACTTGACGCCAGAAGACAGTCCCTCGACACTGAGCAAGATTCTCGGTATAGACGATATAATAGTTCCTCCAAGATTGACGACGACTTTTTGTAACCAACCCACCATTTTAGTAAGCAACCCATCCTGTACACTGTTGTGAAGGAAAACTGTCGTTAGGTTAGGAAACCAGACCGAACGCCGTTCCCTGTTTCCAACTTCTTCTTCTTCTTTTGCAGTAGTAGCCTGCACACATTTAACTCTTTTCTTTTTCAACATACTCCTGCCCCCCAGTATTGTCGCTCAATTCCAGCCTGTACAATTTCTGTACTGTTTTTCTGAAAAACTTCCCGTCTTGAGCTTTCACCCGACAAGCTTGTATTATACCGGCTTGCCCAGGGTAAACGTCTGTGATTCGCCCAAGGGGCCAAACTCTTCTGGAAATGCCAGGCTCTTCAATTATCACCACTTCATATACTCGGAGACAGCTGCTGGGATGAGCTGGGTATAAGTGAAGTGCCCGTAGTTCTAATAAATACTATTTTCCAACATACTTCCGCCCCCCAGTAGCGTCACTCATTTCCAGCCAGTACAAGTTCTGTACTGGTTTTCTGAAAAACTTCCCGTCTTGAGCTTTCACTCGACAAGCATTGACTTTTTGGGTAGAGTGTGTGCAAGCTGCAGTTGTTCGACGTCGTTCGCGAATACTTCCAGCTGAACATATCGGACCCAAAAAATTTCAGACTTGCTTAGCTCCCGTGCCAAAATTGTTTTGCTGAGCGAAGTTTGAAGTCCACGGCATGGATCCACAAAGCGAAAGAACCAGGTGGTGACGCGCAGGAGCTTCTGCAGGTCGCTATGCTTCCTTATATCGATCACCGGGTGTAAGTTTTTGGATGACGCTTGAAGAAATACATGTTGCGTCTCAATCTCTGTCTCTTCGTTTATCGGTTTGTACTGGTTAGGTACTGAAGGCCAGCTTGATTTTGGCTGGGACAACCATTCAGGTCCATACCACCAACAGCGACATGCGCGTAGAGTCCTTATTGGTACGCCTCTAGTCAGTACATCCACCGGGTTGTCTTTGCCCGGGCTGTAGCGCCATAACGCTGTTGCAGTAACTTGTGTTATTTCAGTCACTCTGTACTTCACAAATTGACTCCACTTGCTATAGTTCCTGCGGATCCAGTCAGTGTGATCATGGAGTCAGTCCACATGACGCAATAGAAATGATTGAAGTCCCACGAGGAGCAAATGTATTTTAGCAATCTGGCTCCCACTACCGCGGCCATAAGCTTGAGCTTTAAAAGCGTTAATGCCTTAATAGGTGCCACTCTTGACTTTGCTACTATCAGAGAGGTAGCGGAGTTTCCACCTTCATCAAATGCTCGCAAATAGGCACATGCTCCATAAGCCTTCAGGCTGGCGTCGATGAATATATTCAGTTCAGGCTATTTAAGTGCTCCATGCAATCCGTCTCTCACGCAACGCGGAATCTTTATGTGGCCGAGCTGTATTACATCTGCACACCAGCTGCCCACTGCGTCTTGATCTCAGCGGGCAATTCTTTATCCCAGGAATGGCCTAAAACCCAAAGGCGTTGAAACAAAAGCTTCGCAGTGATGGTGAGTGCCGATTGAATCCCAAGCGGGTCATAAATTCGAGAAGCAACCTTCAGTAGGGTACATTTCATGTCGAGCTGGCCAGCCACTAAGTACTGGGCCACAGACTTGCAAAAAAATTTGAAGTAATCATTTTCTGTATCCCATTGCATTCTCACGACCGCAGCTGCATCTCCGGATGCTCCTTCTGCTTGCTCCTCCTGGTTGTCAAAAATGTTCTGCAGCTGATGGCCATTGTTCTTCCACTTTCTGAGCTTCATGCCAGCATCTTTCATAATTGCTTTCGACTGCTCAAAGATGCGCCGACATTCATGGAATGTCTCCGCACCCACCAATAAATCGTCGACACAAAATGCCTTTTTAATGTAGAAGTGAGCTCTTTGTCTTTACACGCGTAATTAAAGTGGTAGTGAATAGTTGCCATGAGCAAAAAAGGGCTTGACGTTGATCCAAGCGGTACCCGTGTCATGCGCCATTAGACGAGCTTACGGTGTTGGCTAACGGAAATAGAGTCAAACCAAAAAAACTGGAATGCATCTTGGTCAGTTTCCTGTATCTCAGTTTGTAAGAATGCCTTTTCGATGTCTGATGGCGACAGGGTACCACCGAAAGCGAAAAAGGACTTGCAGCAATTCTGGATTGAGGTTCACTTCTTTATCCAAGCAGTCATTAAGAGATGGTACACCTTGGGTGTGTGACGATGCGTCGAACACTACATGCAGTTTGGTGGTTAACGATTCATCTCTTATTACTTCCCAATGTGGCATATAATATATGGTGTGATCTTGATCCCGAGGAGTATCCTTAGGCTCCACTTCCGCGTGACCCAACTCCAAATATATTGCCGGATTACTCTGTCATATCGCTGCAACATTCCTTTCATTGTTCATAGCCTCCGTGTTA